AAGTAATGGTTTGGTAAGACGCATAACAAGTTTGATGAAGTCAATTTTATAAACTAAATCGTAATAAATGGATATAGAGCAAATTATGAGTAGGTAGAACTTAAAATTGAACAATAGATTTGTGTACCTTTTTTTACAAATCAGTTGAAGAGCTAAAGTATCTCAGCAACCCAAAAATAACATCTCTAGCTCCATAATCAGTTAACATACCACATCAAAAAGATTAAAACCATCCCAAACACCTCAACAAACTTCAACTTAATTAAAAAGCAACCACAGTCAGTCATAAGAACAATAGAAACTTCACCTCTCAACATTAAATCCTGCTTGAAAACAAAAAAATAAAAACTAAACGAAGTGAATGAAGAAGCAAACTGAAAATGGATTAATTTTCTTCATCATCGTATCCAAGACAAGACAAGTGAGAATGAAAACGAATAAGAAATTGCGAGAATGAGTCAAGGATATTTTCTTTGCATACAAGAGGCGTCGCCCTGTCTCTTTAAGGCATGAATGAAGTTTGCGTAGTAGTTTCTACAACTGCAGAATTATTAAAGCACTAAAGTGATGATTTTTGGAGCATCGTCAATGTGGGCACGCTCGAATGAATTATATTTGTTTAATTGTTTTAATTTAATTACATAAACATTGGTACGCATAATTTTATTTTATGAGGCTTTTGGGGAAAAATGACTGAACTTAGTCGTTGTTTTATTGTTATATTGAGGATCTGGAAGCTATAAAAGATCTCTTTGATTGCAGATGAGAAACTTTTGAGCTCTAGAATCTTTCTTTTGACTAGAACTTGCATATTAGACTTGATATTTGGCAGTCCTTAATATTTAAACTCCCACTGTCCCTAACTTTCCAACCCCACTTCTATAGCCCCTTAATAATGACGACAAAAAAAATGTAATCATGAGCACTCTTAACTAAATTAAGTGGAATTAAAATGTAAATTCATAATGCTTTTATAAGCAGCACAGATTTTGTTAAGGAAAGTTTGACTGCAGACGATTTTTGAGCACTTTTTTTTACGTCTGCGATGGTTGATGGAGAATTTAATTAAAAAGTCTGAGTCTAAAGAGACGAAAAAGTTTTATTTTTTTTTTTTTCATATGCAATTTTGCTCATTTAATGTTCCTGTTCAAAATGAATTGCAAACTTTAATGCTAGACTATAATTAAAGTACACTAACACTTTTAAAATAAATAAAAGACTTAATTCAATTAAGTCGAGCACTGATGAACGCCCATGACTCACACGAAAACCTGAGGAAGATAAATAATTAATTGAAAGTCACATACAAATTTGGATCGACTTTATAAAGGTAATTTCTGCGCGCTCTTGTGAAGTATATGCCAAATGCCAAATTTAGAACAAAATTTTTTATGACGCAAAAAATTCTTTTTTTGATGATTTTTCGTAGGATTCGAACTTAAGCAGATTTGATCAAACATTTCACATGGTAATTCGCTAGTAAATTATTATTAAATAGCAAGTGTAATTTACTAGCAGTAAGTTGTTTTAATAATAACTAGTAAATTGCAAGTAGTAGAATAAAAAGACTAGCAATTTGCTACTTAGTCTCGCTAGGGCTAAAAGCGGCAATTGCCTACCGTGCGCTTTAACCAAGGAAAGAAGTACTCTTCTACTTCCTTATTGATTTTAGATGCATCAAAAAAAACCAAAAGGTTTTCGAAACAACTAGAAACATTTCCTCAATAACATCTCATCCAAAAATTACTACTCTGGATTTTAAACTGCTTGGAAATCCATTTTCCCATTCTAAACATCTCCTTTTATCTCATCTCAGTCAGCTTGTTATTTCAGTAAACTCAAAATAAATAAAGATCTGGTACTTATTACCGCATGACATATTATGGGAATTTCCGCAATTACTCACCTCCTCAAGAGTTTCTTTGTCTCTCAAGGAATGAAGAAGAATGAAGGTATGAAAATATTTTTTATCACAGCCTTACAGCTTTAGCATAGGGGAAAGAACAATTTTTTTGATGTCATCATAAATTTATGGAAGTAAATGAATAGCTACGTGCATATGGCTTTAACATATTTTTAAAAATTTAAGAGTAAATTTGAATAATTTAGTTATTTTTTTTAAAAAAAAATCTGTAAATTCTATTTTTGGAAAGGTAGAGCAGGTAGAAACATTGAAGGGAATTGATGATGGATATTATTTGAGAGGATGATAAATGGAATAATTTCTAGGTTAAGAAGTAGCTCTCATTGTAAGGAATAAGATTGAATTTTTTTACATTAACAAATTACTTTGGATTTTTTTAAAGCCAATGAGTGCGAACAAAGAAAATGTCAGTTAATTTTGGTTAATTTCGAAAAATCCAAAAAATTCGAAAATATGAAATTTTGAAAAATAAAAATACGTTAACGACTTAATTAAGAAACAAATTTATTTCAATTGTTTTTTGATGCAAAATTGTTTCTTTTATGTATTAATCAACACGGATACTGAAATTTTACTCTAAATTTAACAAAAGCTTTTAATAGTTTATCAATCGTTTCTTCACAATGTTCAAAAACTACTTCAACTTGGGCAATTACTGTATCAATAAATTGTTGATTAAATGAAGGATCAGAACATGAAATAAGACAATTTAGTAGCCTATATATTAATTCTAGACACATTAAAAAACATTGAACTTCTACTGAAAGTTCCCATGAAGATTCTTTTTTCAAGAAGTAATTTAAATGCAAAATGTAAACAAATAATTGTAACGGAAATTTCAAATTCAAATTTTTTTCCCGCGCTCGAAAATGAGATCCTTCGATATCGAAAATTAGTTCTCATCCGCACTCATTGGTTTTAAAGCTATCCAGAAGCGACTATAATTAAGCAGTAGCGAGCAGTTCTTATTTCTGTGTTTAGAAATCAAAAAGTAATTTTATTTCTGCTGTTAAATTTCAAAATTTGAATTTCTGAACGTACTCCATGATAATATTTTTTTTTTTGAAAATTATCATTTTATCAGTAAATCAAAGTTTTAAGCTGCATCAGCACATTCTGAACAAAGATCTAGTTGTAATTTAGTTTTGTCTCAAAAAATCCAATGTTTACTTTTGAAAATTGTATGATAGTATTTGTGAGCTCAAAATTGTTTTCAAATATTTTCAAATTTAACCGCAAAACCGATCCTCATGAAGTGTTTTGATAAGAATAGATAATTTGTAAATGCCTACAATTTTAGTACACAATTTTTTCTTTAAAATCCTTTCAAATTAAACTTAAAAACTCAACAATATTTGCAATTACATTCACAATCGTGTTTCAATACCCCCCCAAACCACTACTAGACTGAACATGAAAACAAGAGCATCTTGCCTGCGAGAATCATTTAACATTTAAAAAAATATTAAACAAAAAAGCTACGAGCTAATAGTAAAAAACCCTCACGTATGTGCAATAATAATAATTACTATATGGTAAAACACCCTCAAAGAGGATTTAATTGCTTTCTTTGAGCTCCAAAGCTCACATCCTTTATAAATTCCACACAAAAAAAAAAGCTTCGTGCATGTATTTTATTTAAATTCTATAGTCTCTTTATTCCCTCATAACACTCACGGTTTATTTTTATTTATGACTGTACAACAATAAAGCCTTATAAGCATGAATGAAATGAGAGAAAAAGTTCAAAGAGTAATCGCGTGGGACGTTCGGTTAAAGAGGAAAAGAAAATTCGGCCTGTTTCACTAAACTGGATTATCCTCGGTTTCGGATTATCCACTTCAGTTTTTTGGAAATATCTCCAGACACTTAAGGTTATTAAGAGATCTAATGTGTGATCTAGTTAGAGTATTTTGCTACTTAAATTAACATAAACTTAGAATTTTTATATCTTCACTAGTTTGAGAATTATAGCAAATATCGAAGATAATCTACTAGATTTGGCTAGAAAATTGAATAATTAATACTTCTTAACGAAAAGTAAAAGTTTAAAGTATACAGAAATTTCAGGCATACTTCACTCTATTATAATCCAAAATTAGAAATACCACACCTCCCATAAAGTTTAAGATATTTACAAAAAACTGAAGTGGATAATCCGAAATCGAGGATAATCCACTTTAGTGAAACAGGCCGATTGCTATTTTGCTATTTTTATTTGCACGCTATGAATAAATTTTTGAAGGACATTAATGATATGAAGAAATTTGAAATTCTGTTTTTGACTTTATTGATGAATAAATTTTCATACGTACTGAAATGCATACGAATAAGAGCTTTAATAGAAAGCTTTTTGAGCTTTAATGTTTGATAAGTTCTACTGGATTTTTGTGTCTAGGTGTAAGTTAAATTCTACTAGATCTTTGTTTTTGGTTCCAGAAATGACTTAAATCCTACTGAATCTTTGTTTTTGGTTCCAGAAATGAAATAAATTCTACTGGATCTTTGTTTTTGGATCCAGAAATGAAATAAATTCTACTGGATCTTTGTTTTTGGTTCCAGAAATGACTTAAATACGGTTGTAGACATGATGCAGATATGATTTGAATAAAGCTTTACTTATTTGTAATAGCGGCTTCTATACAATTTTAATGAATTTCAATTCATGACGAATTTTCATCATCTTTTGATGCGATTTCTTTTGCATGACATATCGCATAAATTTTCAATTCCAAGTATGCTTTATATAAATCATAAACCATCATACCTTTTTCTCAATTTCAAGTGTATCACATACATTCATCTTCAGATGCGCGCATCGAAGAGACAAAAAAAGGTTTCACAAATAGAATTGAGAAATTGTAAAACAAAAAGAAGTAAGTTGAGATTTTATGTGAAAGGAAATCAAGTTTGCATACATTTTGCTCTGTACATTTCCATGTGAAGGAGTTTATTCTTCATTATAGAATGTAAATATATGACTGACTGACTATAGTTAATGGATGTTATGTTAGTGCATTATAAAACTTTTATATTGCAATGAAGATGTTAAAAATGGATATAGCAGATCTGTGGATTAAGACGGGGACTTGACGGGAACTGGGACACGACTTTGATATGTTAAGCAGTTAATCATGTCTTGAACAGCTTTACTTGACTTAACTAGCTTTGAAAAATTTTGTAAAACGATGCGCATTCAGAAGAGTTATGGAATTTAAAGGCTTAAGAATGGCTCAAATACAGAAGGACTCTCTCGAAAGCTTTAAATATTATTTCGAAAGATAACCTCTGAGACAATCCAAGATTCCAAAAAATGCGCTTTATGTACCATACTCAAAAACTTTATTACTTGCTCAACTTTCCATCCTTTTTGTTCTACATCATAGCATGCTTATATACCATACGAACCCGTTCATTTAAATGGCGCAACATTTTTATTTTACTTTCTACCTCTTCCAATTCCCAATTTACAACCATTTTCATCTTCTTCGTGATGTATTTCCAACTGAATTTTTTTGTTCCTCATTGAATTTTTTTTTTCTCTCTTTTTATTATGATGTCAAAATAACATGTGAGATAGAAATGGCAATAAGCACATTTGCTGTTGATTTGAGTGATATGTGACTGAAAGTTTATAGCTTTGCTATGTAAATTCTCGTTTATTTTTTCACGTTGACGGATTCAATTAAGCATAGCGCACAAAGAGAAGTTGTAAAAGCACGAACACATATACAAACGCATGTTATGTCGAGGGGCTTTTTAGCTCATAAAGTTTTCAAGACTGAATAAACCTGTTGCTTTGAATGGAACTATACACAATGCTTTTCGAGGATGAGGATGAAAAGAAAGGAACGGAAGAATGAAATTGAATGGATGAATGAATGAAGTAAAAACTTTTGTTTAGTAATGTAATTTGAAAAGGCAGAATGGAAGATTCTGGAGAAGTTTAAATTGGTATGACTGCAATAATAGATTTTTCTCGCTTCCGTCTACAATTGTTATAGCTTTTGGTTTTAATTTGAAGAGATTTTCATGTATTTTTTGTTCATTTTGTGGAGTTTTGAGTGCATTAAGTTAATTTGAAGGAGCTACAATTAAAAAATCTGGAATTTTAAAGTAAATATGAGTCGAACTAAGTAAGCGTGGGTTGTTGGCGATTTAATTACGACTCATAGACACAATGGGCATGGTTTTGATACTTGTTTGTTGTTTTCCCCGATCTTTTGATGCAATGTTCAAAAATTATGATTTAAAGAACCATTTTGTGGCATTATGTCGTCAAAGTATTGGCTCGGACTCCACTTCAAACTGTGCCTCTAGTTTTGAGTTCGGAAGCCCTTTCTAGGCCTTAACTACACTAAATCCTCTACCCTAGAATTGAAAATCAAAGCTTTTGAACATCTAAGCCTTATTGCAGAATCAAAACTCATTTTCTGTTCTTAGAAATCTAGTTTCTTGCCCCTCAAATTCAACTATTCACCCTTTTGTTCTGAAAATATCAGAAAAGTTCTTAAAAAGAAACGACATTATCAATTATTTACAACCAAAAACAACAACATCTAGCGCAAGCCATGATCGTCAACATATGCAAACATTTAGAACGATTTAAAGTTAATCAAATATTCTACATTAACCACATCACATTGCATCATATTTGTTATAAAATAATATTTCCATATTAAGATTTACATCATCGTTATCATATCTAACATATTCTTCAGCCTTTGCATTTCCATTAATAAAAAGGAGGTAGGATTGCTGCTATTTTCATCACAGATTTCACGTATGCTTTTTCATTAGGTATAGCAGAATGTATTTATATTTTTTTGAGCTTAATGTAGGCTGAGAAAGAAGCTTTTAGCAAATATCAGATAAATTAAATGCGACAAAAAAAATGTAAAATGATCCTCGATTGCCTACGCTCATCATATTTTGGAAGGTAATTTTAATTTCATTTATAATCTCTTAGAATTAAAGGATAATGTTTCTTATATGGGGAAATTTTATTTTTGTTCTACTTTTTGCTGTTTTTGAATGACATTAGATCATGGAGTGTGTTGGTGTGGAACAGGGAAAGACAGAAGTTGTTTTTAAGGGGAAGTGGGTGGTTCTAGATTCCTTTAAACTAAATCACATGAATACTCCCAAAGATTAGATTTATTAAAAATAAATAAGATTCAAATTTAGCTATAAATAAGACCAGATTAGTAGAAATCAAGGTTCTTAAGGTTAGATAACATTCAAACCATTCCTCGCGAGTTTTACTTCCTCTACTTTTTAAATACAACACTTAAACACCAGAACCATCAACAAACACCATAAATCATGCACAAAACGTTGGTGAAAATTAAAACTAAATTTCAGCAGCTCAGAAGAGTTTATTTTCCACATGCTGTTATGCCTATCATATCAAGCTACATTCTCAGAAATTATGTGTCGGATATTAAATACCTCAAGGCATGTGTTTCCGACAACTTTTGTATGTCGTATTCAAAATTAGATACCAAAAGTCTGTAACAGTATTTTTGGAAGGTCGGGAGGTACGAATATTAGGTGTTGTGTGGGAACCTTAAGGATTGAGATATTAAAAGTAATAAAATGACGCCAAAATATGTTTGAAGAATTTAAACAAGAAATTTTGACTTTTTTGTATTTACATATGAAGCATAACACCCAGCAATAAACCACTAGAGACTTTTCTTAAAACAAATAAGGTTAATAACGTCCAATGTCATGCATAGTAAGCCTTAAAGTAAGACAATCTGGCTCGTGTGATTTCTTCTCATATTTATTTCAAAGCTCATAAAATTTTATTCCTGCAAATGAATCTTCGAGAGCTTTTTCAGAAAGCTTCAATGAAAGCTTAAGCCTTTAACATCCTTTAACCTTTAACACTTTATATTCGTAACCTTAATATTGTAATAGGATGGGATGACTATCTGCTTCAACGGATTGTTCTTTTTTTTGAAATTCGTCAATTGTTTTTCATTGGATGTTAATCATTACTATTATTATTCATTATGGAAAAAGGGATGTTGTAATTTAATCATAACCTCAATTTTCGTACACAAAATCTGACAGGCAGCTCCTTCGTTTACACGCCATTAACGAATGTTACCATTATAAAATTGAAAATCCTTAGTCATCCTAATACAGACGTACATAAAATCCTCACATCGTCGAATTCAATAAAATCTTCACATCTGAAACTTTTAAATCAATAAAGATCTCAGTGGTGCCGCAAAACAGTCTCATCAATGAATTTACACTTACTTCAAAGATGAAGAAGACTTTTGAGAAGTTTGGTGAATTATTATGTTGGAAATGAGGCGCAGAGACTTTGACAGTTGGTGAAAATACTTGTCAGGAGTCATTCTAATGATGTGGAACAAATATCTATCAGGATTTAGATCCCTTAGACTCAGATCAATAGGAACAAGCTTGAGACAAGCATCTTGAGCTATCAACAAATTTTTTAATGATTGAGAGTTTGAAATCTGATGGGAATCGAACCCAAGTCGTCACAATAAAGTCAAATCTGTTGCTTAACAACCAGACCATAGAGCTCTTACAATCATACTAACAGAATTGCATGCATATAGCTCAATACTCCAGAGCTAGCACCATAGTGAGCAAACACATCCAACGCCGACACTCGATTCCAACAAAACCTTCAATCCTCAAACTTTGCCATGAAAATTGATCTTTAACTCAAAATCCCGTCATTCAAACACTTCACACAAAAATATATGAAAAATCCTCTTAAGCCACACACATCCACACCCAAACATAACCTAACCCACTCAATAAAATCGATTTAGCGCACATGAGACAAAATGTACACAAGAAACTCGAATCGAATTGATGAAAAAATAAGCCATAAAAAGAAGTGAAAATTCTTTTTAGGCAACACACAACCTTTTGAAAGGAAGGAGATGAAAAAGTTCTTTCATTTTGTGAAGTGGTCGAGGAAAATCTCAGCAATTCCGTTTTCATTGTGCTATAAATGTTATCGAATTTCTACATATGGTGTTTTATTGTCAATTGACAGTAGAATGTTGTAATGGTTAGGAAATATAATGTGATTATGAATTTCGGTAATGGATGGAGTTAGGGGTATCAAAAGTGGGACTATGGACTGTGGAACTTGAATTCTGACTCTGAAGTTGAGCAAATGTCAATTGCAATACTAGAAACCAGATAGATGTCAAATAACAGAATTGAAACGTTGAAGGACTGATTAAATGATCATGTAAGCACCAAAAATAGCGGACCAAAGGTGATTTTAGGAATTCAATACCTTACGATTAATAAGACTTCATGTCTTTATGCCAGAATCTTTCAATTTAAGGATATGCGGATCTCTAAGCCTTGCTAGGTAGGAACCTTCCATCCCCCACTTTGAGTATCCTTTTCATTTTCCATCATGTTATTTCCCCCTTCCAAGAAATCACTGCTGGTGTTCAAATCATTGAGATGAGCTTCTTTTAATGAAATTCAAGAAGCTTTTCTATTCGGATGGAGTTTCGGAAGTTAAAGTTATCCGATAATTCGAGCAAAAAGGCTTTTGAACATTTGTGAATGCTTAGCAGCCATCAACAAATGTGTTCATTGAATATCTACGATAAATTTTGATTAAAAATCAAGAAAATTTATTTCTCTTTAATATAAACATACGTTTGAAGATCTATCCAACAACGCCACACGCTTATGGACAAATTCTACAACATAAATCTTAAAAAAGCCCAATCAAATTCTGTTACAAACTTGAAGTCCCCATGTCACGTATCATTCAGCACTATATCCTCTCAACACACTTATAAAGGTGTCTGCATCCAAAATAATTTAAATGTCTACGAGATTTCCTTCTGGAAATTTTCTTTAGGTTACAAATACAATCAGTATGTTCACCTTTACATGACACATATCAAAATGTGGTACACGTGTCTATCCTGACTTTGTATTTTACTACGTTTTTCTTAACTTGCTTTCTTATCTGTTTGATTGATTGATTGTCCGCAAAATTTCGTACTTTTGTAATCGATTTTTCGACCACTTCTACTGCTCCAAACGAGCTTAAATTTTTAATGCACACGTATTCCCGGTGACAATACAATATTTTAACACTTTGGAAACACAAAAATGCTTAATTATAGTACAATTTATGTAAAACTTTTTTATATGGGAAAAAATCCAATGTCAATGATATAAAATTTTGATTTGTGTTAAATATTATACTTTTGATGCTCTAAAGTCATTTATATGATTCATTATAGTTTAATTAATATTACTAATTATTAATTATACCATAAATTTGAGCAGCTAAAGATATTCTGGTAAGACAAAAAAATTGACAAGTAATTTTTTCATGAATATTCGTAAGTGAATATTTGAATTTTCAAAAAAACCGTTAAGCACAGGTCCGTTACGAATTAATGCAAAATAACTATTAATATGCGATGTGCATTTAGCACACAAAGTTTGAGCATAAATTTATGCTGTTTTAAATGTATTGCATTATTTATAACACTTCACCAACTTAATTAAATTGACTTTTCTTTTTATTAACGGTTTGACGTATTTTTGCATAACATATAAATGATATTCATTGAATTTAAATTTGAAAATCCGTTATAAATACGTTACATATAGATGTGATTTGCATCTTTATGTTAAGAATCCACACGTTATGAAGTAGAAATGGTACAGATAAACACAAAATCTTTACGAGTGATTTTTAATGTACTTTACTAATGAATGCTTTAAAAAAATTAAATTTTATAAAATGAATGAAAAATTTTGAAAGTCGTTACTAATTTCCCATTGAAAACTGGTAATTTATAAACAGTTAAACGAAACGAAGTGCAACGAAGTGGAGTTTAACACACCTGTAACCTATGAACCTACTGTAATCTATAAACAGTTGAACGTAACGAAGTGCAACGAAGTGGAGTTCAACACACCTGTAACCTATGAACCTACTGTAATCTATAAACAGTTGAACGTAACGAAGTGCAACGAAGTGGAGTTCAACACACCTGTAACCTATAAACCTACTGTAATCTATAAACAGTTGAACGAAACGAAGTGCAACGAAGTGGAGTTAAACACACCTGTAACCTATGAACCTACTGTAATCTATAAACAGTTGAACGTAACGAAGTGAAACGAAGTGGAGTTCAACACACCTGTAACCTATGAACCTACTGTAATCTATAAACAGTTGAACGTAACGAAGTGAAACGAAGTGGAGTTCAACACACCTGTAACCTATGAACCTACTGTAATCTATAAACAGTTGAACGTAACGAAGTGCAACGAAGTGGAGTTCAACACACCTGTAACCTATAAACCTACTGTAATCTATAAACAGTTGAACGTAACGAAGTGCAACGAAGTGGAGTTCAACACACCTGTAACCTATGAACCTACTGTAATCTATAAACAGTTGAACGTAACGAAGTGAAACGAAGTGGAGTTCAACACACCTGTAACCTATGAACCTACTGTAATCTATAAACAGTTGAACGTAACGAAGTGAAACGAAGTGGAGTTCAACACACCTGTAACCTATGAACCTACTGTAATCTATAAACAGTTGAACGTAACGAAGTGCAACGAAGTGGAGTTCAACACACCTGTAACCTATAAACCTACTGTAATCTATAAACAGTTGAACGTAACGAAGTGAAACGAAGTGGAGTTCAACACACCTGTAACCTATGAACCTACTGTAATCTATAAACAGTTGAACGTAACGAAGTGCAACGAAGTGGAGTTCAACACACCTGTAACCTATAAACCTACTGTAATCTATAAACAGTTGAACGTAACGAAGTGCAACGAAGTGAAGTTCAACACACCTGTAACCTATAAACCTCCTGTAATCTTTATTTCTCTATTTCATTAGAATAAAACTAAAAAGTAGAAAATAAAATACTTTATAAAAAAAACTTTTTAAAAAAACTACGTTTTTCGCGTAGACTAAAAAGTAGAAAATAACTTTTATTCTTGGTTGTAAAGAATTTGGTTTTAAATTTTCAGATTATATTTAATAAATTTTTATATCCTAGTCAATATTGTTCACAAAGTTTCGAATAAGTGCACTTTGATCTTATCGTATAACTCAACAACTTAAAAACGTGGGCGCATTAATTTAAGTTTATCATAAAGTATTGATTTCACATAAACTTATTTCTCCTCTTATAATGCGCCCACGTTTTTAAGTTGTTGAGTTATACGATAAGATCAAAGTGCACTTATTCGAAACTTTGTGAACAATATTGACTAGGATATAAAAATTTATTAAATATAATCTGAAAATTTAAAACCAAATTCTTTACAACCAAGAATAAAAGTTATTTTCTACTTTTTAGTCTACGCGAAAAACGTAGTTTTTTTAAAAAGTTTTTTTTATAAAGTATTTTTTTTTGCTATGATTTGTAATATCAGAAAAATTCTGTAGCTGCTGAATGCTGAGCTTTTTTTATTCCTTAATGGGGATTATTTTGAATATGTAAGCACGATTTCTTCTCCATTAAGTAACTTTGCAGTCAGAATAGATTTTTTTTCTTTGAGAAATATATCTGTAGGATTAACTTGTGCATGCAATTTCTAGAATATCCACATTTCTGTAGATCTTATTGACCTCAATTGCATCGAACATAGCTTACTTTTCAAAGATATCAGAGACATGATATAAAGCTTAGAATTATCGTGCTTTCAATCACAAATTGGAGCTTATCCAGGATTACTAGTTTTTAGTTTTAACACAATCGACAGTTATTGGCTTACAAATTTATCGATCTGACTTGAAAGTGTTGAAGATTATGGAATAATCTTGGTGATGCATGAGTTGAACGGCTTTATTCTATTGGAATCTTGTTGCTTGAAAAAATGCGGACCAGGTTAATGGCCAGAAACTTTTTGACACCTTCTTCTCTCGATTTGATTTTGATCCTGACTAGAGAACATGATTTTAAATATTCAAACCTTAATAATCAATCAAATACTCTTAACATCCACAAATGAACCTCAAAGATACAAATAATTCATCCACAACTTCCATTTGCAAAATATAAATACAAGTTCAAATCCCACCCATTGATTTCCTATTCATTAAACGTTCATAAGCAGTATCTACCGTCATATCCAAGTCTCATTTGTGTCTCACACTTATTTCCCTTCATATTTTTCTAGCTATTAAAAAAAAATGTTGGAAGCATATGCATGTGCTGTTATTGAATATCATCAACATGAGATCTCCTATACGCACGTACAAATGTATTATGCATAACATCCATTGCCATAATGTCTATCAAATGAAAGAACAAAGAAAAAAAATATTCAAATCAAAAGTTAAAAATCTTTAAAAATGTTCAGCATAAAAAGTCAATTTAATTATGAACGACATTTGTCAAGCTATTAGCCATCGGCAGCGTTTGTTCAAAGGTACGCATTGAGTTTTTTTTCTGTCATTTCCTTTGATATCTTTTATAAATGCTAAATTTGACATTCTCATGAATGGAATTAAGGCATAAAGAAGAGATTTCATTGAGAATCTTGCTAAATTGACTTTGACTTGATTGAACTTTGACATTATTAGTTTCTGTATTATTCATAAGATATGAAAAGAACTGTGCGTGGGCAAGGGGAAAGCAACATGGTGGAAAAGTTTTGATAAGAAAATTTACGCCAAGATGGGGAATTTCTAAGAAGAAAAGAGCTTCAAAACATCGCATTTTGAAAGGTTTTTTTTTTTATCTTAAATTGAGAACTCACCATCAAAACTTTCCCCCATCATGTTGTTTTCCCCTTGAAATTTTTTTAACACCCCCCCCCCCCCCTCTCCCCTTGTTACAATATGTTACAACTCACAACCCCCCTCCCCTAAACTTTCATAATTTATTTTATCATTAAAAAGGTGGAAAATTCAAAAAAATGTTTTTGGTAGCAATTTTTGGTCAATTTTTTTTCGTGAACTTTTTTTTAAAAGACAGACGACAGTTAGAACGTTACATACTTCTTGTTCCCCCCCCCCCCTATGTTACAATTTTCAAACCCCTCCTCCCCCCTAAAATGTGAACGTAATAAGTGAACGGCCCCAATTGAAAATGGTGGAAAAAAATTTAAAAAAATCATATCAAGTTATTTGTCGTGGGTGATGTAACTAGCTTGGGATGATTAAAATGTTAAAATACTTGTTGTTGTTGTTTTAAAAATTGTAAAATCCAAGAGATTAACTTAATAACTGAATGGATGACTGATTGCCTTATTAGTAACTAAATGAACGTGATGCAGAAAAGTAAGCAAACAGCATCCATATTTTTTTTTATTTTATGTTGAATCTTTCGAAAGATTAAGATTTTTGCAAATAAATTGGATTAAAAAATGTCAAATTGAGAGGATTTGCAATTAAAACGAGTCTATAGGATTGAAAGAGCAATAAAGCAACAGAGAGAAATGACTGCAGGAATCATTAATTGTAGCAATTGTTGATTTTAAGTCAATTTTTCAACAAAGTTTCTGTAATTAACAACTGGAATGATTTTTATCACATCATGTATTCTAATACCACCCTCAGCAAATGTCTTTTGCTTTTTGAAAAACTCTTTCTTCACAATATGTTTATATTCTTGTGTGAATATGTTAAACAGTTTCCAAACATGATTTTTTGTGTACTTTTATTTCTTATTTTGTGAAAGTTTTTCTTGTTTAAGGATACAAAATTTGTGAAAAAACTTTTTAAAATGTTATTTTTGTTACAAAAATATTAAAAATTATCCTCCCTTCTCATATTTATCTCCCACGGGAAATTCCTTTAGCGAGAAGCAATTTAAAGTTAAATGTGTGTGGGCTTTCTGAGCGGTTCTTGATGAAACTTTTACTTTATTATCAGTAGAATTAAAGTTTTTTTTTTGAAAAGTTAGGAATGATTTCAATTTTTGATGAGGTTAGAATTGGAAAGTTTAAAGCTAAAATTATGATTAAGTGTTAATTTCATTTATTTATTCATTGTTGACATTTATTCACAAAGTGATTCATAATTCTTCATTTAAACTTGTGCTACAATACTTAATAATTGCATTATCTCAAAGATTATGATCAAAACCATCAAAAAGAGGAATAAAGACACTTTAAATCATTAAATTTATTAAAAAATCGTTAGGAACGTAAATTAATCTTTAATTTGGATCGTGTTATTAAGGCTGGTCTTTAAGTAAGAAATTCTGAAGTTTTTCTGAAAGGTCAAGTTAAGCATTCGATAAATAATCAACAACATTTTCTAATAAGAAAGTAAGTTCGATTCTCGTATAAGCAAGCGCAAGACCATAAAGTTTGTGTCCGTGAGATAAATTTGAGCCAGGGTTGCGATACAGCACCTATGCACAGGTGAGAACCGTACAATTCCTTGGTAATTTGTGAGGTTTTATTAGAATTTGTATGGTTTTGTTAGAAAAACCTCACAAATTATCAAGGAATTGTACGGTTCTCACCTGCACACATGTGCCTGTACCGCAACCCTGATTTAAAAAATTCAAGAAAATAGTATCAAATTCCGAACAATAAGCAGTCTTAGTTAAATTTGAAGTTTGTAGTTTTGAACAGATTAGGTTACAACTCGAAGTTTGAACAGTGCGCAGTGTTGTCATCCAAAGAGATGTTTAATTGCTTAACTGATTGAACTTGAATTATCCGATGTTTTATCTGCTTTGACTTACTAGTTGTCATGAATTTCTCAATTATAAAATAACCACCACCAATAGATTCTCGACATTTAAGAATCTCATTCTTTCTATTTCTTAATTTTGGTGCATTTTTCTCCTTTGATTTGATTATTTCACATTTTAAATTCAGATATTTTTTGAAGCTTTTATTGAAGATGAATTTATTCTTCCAGTTTTCTAACTTGAACTTCTTTTTCATAGACTTGATATTCACTTTATTATGCATGCAATTCTTCCAGTAGTCATTCAATCGATAGACAGTATTTTCGATCAGAAATGTTATCATCGCTATTAATGCACCAATCAATAATAAAGTGATTGGAACATACATGCCGTCAAAGCCAATCATGTCTTCTTGCGGACTCTTGTTGATTCTTTCAGTTGACATAACATAAGCATCGTTTATTGTCTGCTTTTCCCATAATTTATAAATTCCAGACTCATCTAATTTTCTCACAAACATCCGAAACTTTTCAATAAAGAAGTATCCACTGCTTACTGTGTATGATTGAAGATTTTGTGACACAACAAGTTTATCATACAATTGTAAGTTCTCTCGAAAGTTCCTCTGTGAATGAATGAATGCTTCTGCATATTTACAATAGACACTGTATACCAGGTTCTCATCAAAATTCTCTGGAACCTGAGGAAGTGCGTTTCCATCAAGGTTCATATAATTCAAAACCAAATCATTCCTAATTATTGGCAGGTTAGCTCGTTCAGCAAAGTTTTTATCGTAGAATGTGTAAAATTTTGTGCTGCTTCCATTAAGTTCTTGTAAGTCGTATGCTGATCTTAACGATGACTCTGTGAGCATTAAGGAAAGTATGATACTTTCATAGTGTGAAACTAGGATAAATGAACTGAATATAAAGCAATAAACTAGAAAATTCTCCCTCAATGTTAATTGTTCTATGTCTGAAGCTCCAAGGTTTAGAATCAGTTCATAAACAGCGAATAAAATAGACATGACCGACATATTAGCTGTAATTTTAATCCAAGTAATAATTACTAAGATTGTCGAGATTGAAGCCATGATCAGTGAAGGTATATCCAACGGCAAATTATAATTTTCAAACGCTGTAACTGGAATATTTCTTGGAATCAATAGACAAATACCATCCATATCATTAAACCAGACATTAAAAACGTTTTGCGTGTGCGGCGATGCTTTTATATAAATAGAAATTTCTGCTGTTGTGTCAAGATAACGATAAATATCATTTAAAGAATGACCGACTGACTGCTTATTTGCAATTTCAACACTTGTGTTGAGCTTCTTGCTGAACTCACGAATTAAATTTCCATCAGCTCCAAAAACTTCGCCATCTTTTAAATATGATATTGGATATGAGTCAAAGTGAACAATTCTGACTGGGAGGATTGAGGTGCTGGTGACATCTTTCATAGTTAAAAATGTTTGATCACGTGATTCTTTCTTAATAAATTTTAAATCTTCGTTTTGTGTTCTCTCAATTATCGTGCGATAAATGTTGAATTTGCCGTTAAATTCATGATATATTATGTAGACATTGCAGTACTTCAGAAGAACAAGATATTTCCATACCAATGTGGCTGAATTCCTGCTTCTGAAGTCGCTTAATAAAAGGAAAATGTTTAAAGACTTGTCAAGATTTTTTGACAAAATTTGGTTGATTAAAAATATGAGAAATGATTCCCTTCCTATGTCTAGGACTGTTGGCAGAAAATTTGTGGCTTTCCTGATAACTAAACTTTCATTTAAATATTTTGCTAATGTTCTATGAAATCCTTCATATTTGTTCTTTGTGCTTACTGTCTGAAGAAATAGAATTGCAACATCTAAGTTTCCTTTTTTACCAGCATCGCTACATAGCATCATCTGGACTAAATGTTGTGATAGATTGTCCCATTTTTGTTCTGAATTTATTTTAAGAATATTCAGCAAGTTTGTGTTATCAGTGGAACTTTTACAAACGTGGAAAATGCATAAAAGCACAAATATTCCATCTTTATAAAGCATATTAAAATTATTTGAGTTACTCAACACGGCTCAACACTTTTAGTAATTAAATAAACAACCAACTGACTTGTGTAAAGTTTATTAGAAAAATGAATGAATTTTCAAAAAGACTGATTTGTTTGAAAATTAATTTATATGGCAACCATCACGACATCTCAGTGTAATAAAAATGCGCAATTTTATTGCTATTGTATAGGCCACTAGGTTACTTTGACTATTTAATGGGAAACCCAAAAATCAAAGATGAAAATAGAAATTTTCAGACTTATCCTCCCTCTCACTATCACAATATTTGTATAAGCTAATGTAAAATTGAAGTTAAAGTCATTGCAAAATTTTATAGTTAATTCGACTTTTTATTAAAATTGTTGCTTTTTAAGCTTTAATAAATTTATCATAAAGTTTCACTTCCTTCACAACCAAAACGGAAATGTCAAATTTATCTCGGGGAACAATAATTTTCTTTTTTTAAATGCCAAATCATCCTACATCAAAAATTATTTAAGTAATTTACCACAGGAAATGCTAACGAGAGAAATATGATACACAAAATGAGATGGTTTTGTTATATTACAATGACAGGAAGAAAAATTTGGAAGTGGTTTGGATAAAGTTTGTTGGTGAAACTTGAAAAAAGCTTTGTTTAGCATGAAATTTCCTTTTTGCTATATAGTTGTGAAATAATTATTTTTACTGAACGCACTTTTGATGCTGAAATTTTTACTGAACGCACTATTGAAGCAAAAACTTTTTACTGAACGCAATTTTGATGCAGAAATTTTTACTGAACGCATTATGAAACAAAAACTTTTTACTGAATGCACTGTTGATGCTGAAATTTTTACTGAACGCACAGTTGATGCAGAAGTTTTTACTGAACGCACTTTTAATGCAGAAGTATTTACTGAACGCACTATTGAAGTAAAAATAATTACTAGACGCACCCTTGAGACATTTTTCTTCTGCTGAATGCATCTATGAAGTAGATCATAGGCAAACGTTTAGCCTTAACACATAGCAAACTAGAAGAATCCCCGAACTCTTGTTTTTTCCAACTGAACCAACAATCAGATAATTGAAAGAAGAAAATAACAATAAAAAGCATAACAAAGAAAAATTGTTCATATTCTTATGGGAAATTCTTCTTGTTCATCAAAGAGACGAGAAAGAAATCTGCATCAGCAGAAAAAGAAAATGCTTCAAAAACAATAAGGAATCTCATTTCACAGTAAAAGTTACAAATACGGGTTGCTGTGCTCGAAGCTTCCATTATACAATAAATTATGTCACTCTGTGGTTATCATCTCCATTGCTCTCTTATTTTCCATTGTTTTCTTCTTTTCACTCAATATTCACCAAACAGCTCGGTAGGTTTATCAATTTTATATCCATTTGATTGTTTTCTTAATGGCTTGCTTTTATAGAACGTGAAAAATTCATATTGTCATTGAAATAAAAGGAAATTACATTCAACTATTGCCATATTATGGAAATTGTTTTATGGTCTTATCAATGTAAGAAATTTAAATAATGAGCAAGTGTTTATAGTTCTGTTGGTTGGTCATGTTTTAGAGGTTGTTTGCAACTAGTGGCTTAGAATAAGGTAGAAACCGAGCATTAGTATTTCTTAACATCCAAACCAAGCCCCGACTAACCCAAACAATTCAACTTAAGGTCAATTATCTTCAAACAACCTTAATAGAATCACTCAAACTTATTCAAACGTAATTCAATAACAATTTGAGCATCTTTCGTCTGAATTTCAATTTCACCATCCACGCAAATAAGATTGTACATTAAATTTCCATTTGTTTCCAATTTCTTCTTCATTCCAATCTACTTCTACTTTACTCCAGAACAATTCACGTTAAATTTAACAAATTCAACATTTTTACTTTACATAAATTAATTGTCGAAGTTTTAAATCGTTATCAAACCATGACCATGGCAAAGGCACAACTGTATGCATGAAGAATTAACCACAACATGATGTACATTTATAAATAAATTTACCTTTTGATTATTAATTAATGCTCCTGATCTCATTAACTTGGTAATTAGATTTGACACTTTTGGAAAAACCAATGAAATATAGATTGGCATTGAAGAATTCAAGGATATTGAAGATGTTTTACTTATTGAACACCTTTTTGAAGAAGATTTTCAATACTGAACGCACTTTTGAGTCTGTTTTTTTTAAACGCACCTTTGATGCATAATTTTACTACCAAACATACTCTTCAAGCATAATTTTATAACTGAACACACTTTTGAAGCAATTTTTTGTTCTAAACGCACTTTTGATGCAGAATTTTATTACCAAACGTACTCTTGATGTAAATTTCTTTTACTGAGCATACTTGAGCAAACTTAAGACAATTTTCTATAAAAATTATACTCAATCTCCAGCTATCACACCTTAATATCAAAATTACTCTAATAAATTATGTGTTAATGATCCCTCAAACTTTTCTTCAAAGCAATCTCTCTCTTAAAGTGTGATAGACACTCTCTCATTAAATTAATAGGCGACTAGAATTGAAAATAACAACATGAAAATTGCTTGTTGAAGTTATAATGGAATTTATTATAGATTAATTGTTTGTGAAGCAAGATTTAATGCTGTTATACGAAAGTTATAGGTCAACGGTGATTGGATGAATAATGTCAAAAAATAAATAAGTATGAAAATATCCTGAATCATCCCGCACCGCTTACGAGAGCTAAATATGAAATAGAAAAATATTTATCTCAATGAAGCACTCGACATGATGTCTCATGACGTTCATTGGATATGGAGCACTGAATAGGTCATATTACTCCATTCATCTTCGTACCAAAGTTCATTGCTGTTGTTCTCGATTTACTTTTACTACTTTCTCTTTGGCAGTGCTATTTTTATAAAAGAATCCTACAAACAATACAAAAATAAATCTTAAAATCGCTTTGAGATTTCAAATCACATTCGATCTATTTTTGCTTTGTTTATCCTTTTTGTTCAAACAATTTACGAGTGAAATATCCCGATCAATAAAGTTCACGGGTGAGGGAGAAACAGTAAACAAACTTGCGAGTTTGCCAAAAATATTTTGAACGAAAAGGATTTTATGGTCTGTAAGGTGAGCTATAACATCCTTCATACAGCTATCATGACTAGTGGATATAAATTTTATCGTGAAAACTGCAGAAAGTTATGTAAAGAATGCAGAGTATGAAACGGATTGATGTTTGGATTGTATGAGGTGTTCTATGAGGTTCTAGACTGATACGAACAATTCGATGGTTTCAACCGTTACAGTTTCCAAGAAAACTTGTGAAAATGTCTTATCTGTCTGCCTGCCATACAAAATTCGAGGTTTCATACCCTGCAGTTCGAAATTTTCGAAAATTATTAAAAAAATAAAAAACTTAAATTAAGCAAGATTTATGTAAAATCTAGATGAAATTAATATGGAATTATTTAATAATATGCATAATATAGCCCAATTTTTTTTCAAACCATCAAAAACTCTTTTATAATGACTAAAAATAGAAACGATTTTTTCAAATTTAAATTTTTCGAACGTGCATGTTATAACTCCCCTAGACTTTCGATAAGTCTGTCGAACATGAATTGTTCGTATCAGGTTCTAGAGTGTTTTATTGAACTTTTTAGATTATTTTTATCTTAACGAATGCTTTAGAAGTTCTTTTACTGTTTTAGAAGTGAAGCAATACTGAATTGGAATTTAATAGCTACGAAAATGTTAAATAAATCAATTTATTTCTTACTTAATCGTTTAACGGTCAAAAAATATTTAAAAGCAAATAAAATGCAACTTCCATAGTTACTAGCCCCGTTTGAAATGTTTTGATTTTTAGTCTTGTTTCACAATTCAAACAGTAAACATCATCAAATATTCACTCAAATATTCTTATTAGACATGTTAATAACTCTTAACTAAAGTAGAATCGATAAAAGTGATCAAATTTTAGAGTTCAAAAGAAAAAATTCAATGACATTTTCAAACAATGTTTATATATATATTTATTTTCATGTAAACGATATCAACAAATCAAAGAATTCAGAAATAGAAAGTAAACATCAATAAAAATTGATTTCCAAGAATAAAAGTCTGCTAAAAATAAGCGTCAAGTGACAACAAATTTAACGCTTCGCATAAGATTAATTCCAGCTACCAAATTAATATTCCTTTTCGTAGAAGAAAACTACTCAGTTGAGAGAAGAAAGTTCCATTTCACGTGGGCATGAGTAAACAAACACCCAAGGACATGAAATTAATGAACTTAGTATTAAAGATCACGAGCTATCACGACATCCATATGCTAGATCCGGATCCAACTAGCAAAAAAAAGTTAAAATAATAACCATAAAAATTGTTCTTGATAAGTAAAGTCATCGGATAAAGAAAGTGAATGAGAGAAAAATTCAGACTCGTGTGGGAGAGAACCAAAACAAAATGGAATGGATGAGAGAATGAGTAGAAGGGGGTGGGGAGAGGTTGAAGATGGTATACTTTTCCACCGTGCGGATCGATAATTTTTTTTTCATTTCTCTCAAAACTCAACGCAATAAAGGAACAAAATAAGTTTATTTTTGTGCTCTGTTTTCCTTCATTCCTGCTCATCAAATTGCATGAATGGAAAATCTTACATTTTTTTTTGGTGTAGTTATGTAAACTATTAATTCATAATCTGCTTTATGTCACTTATTTTATGCTCTAATTCCACTTTATAAACATTTATTTCACATTTTTGCGACAAATTTCACAAATTTCCTTTGAAATTTAATTTTTTAAATCATTTTTGTAACTTTTAATAGCTTTTTGACTTTTTAATTATAATTTTTATTTATTTAATCAACTTTATCTTGATTTTTTCATCACAAAAATCTAACATTTATTTTCTACAATACTTTTTTGTGTCACAAATGCGAGACGTAAACGAAAACTCGACTTTCAACGCGTAAAGTTTGACTCAGACTGATGGAGAGAAATTTTTTAATCATTAATTTTGAGAGAAAATGTGAAAATTTGCGTGAGAATTTTTTCACAATTTTCCATTGTTTGGTGAGAGTGATGTTGAGTGTTTTGTTTTGGTTTGAAAGGCACGTGGCTTAGTCTTATTGATGGATTTTGAATGTTTTGGGGTGTTTTGTGATGTTTTGAGTCTAGTCTATGATGGTCTAGTATGGATGATGTGTAGAAATGCCGAAAATTGTCGATACAGTTAGGAGTCGTTCATAAATGACGTCTAGCATTTAAGTGGGGGAGGAGAATGTCTAGAGCTGATAGGACATAGCTGTCTTAGTGCGTTGTGAAGGATCAATTAATTTTGAGTGTAAACTTAACTGAAAATGCTAATGGAAAAGTCAACGACACGAACGGACACGAATCAGTTCCACACCTTTGAATGGAAGCTGCTTCGTTGGCTTGTGTGTGGGAGCTACGTAGAGGTTCTACTCGGTTTCGTGTCGATGGCAAATAGGGTTGGGCAAATATTCGAATATATTCGAATATGAACAAAAAAATATTCGAATATATTCGAGCAGTAAAGTGCCTTGCTGGTCGAATAGGTAAGGCGCTTGGCTCAAATTTGGGATGGTAACTCGAAGGTCGTCGGTTCGAATCCAGCCGTTTCCAAATTTGTTCTTTTTCGGAAGTTTAGATACTTTGACTGCTTAATGTACGAGATCAAGTCATAATTGGGCATTTGGGCAACGTTGGATTAAGGAACGGATCAGGAACTTTAAGTGTAGCGGGAGAAAAAGGAACGAGAGCTACAAGATTACCCACGAATGGAATATTGTCAGAACGGACCTGAAATGTATCACGTCACGCCCACAGAAGATTGAAACGAGAGCCTGAATTTAATCGAAACCTAGATTTGAAGATTAGAAGCTTGATTCTACGTCATCCATAGTGATATGAAATGTATCACTAATCAATGTAAAAAGTAAAACATTTATAAATACTAATTCTTTCGGACGGTAACGTCGACAAATAAATAATAATATTAGAAATTCAAAAATGAAAAAATACGTTATTTGTTAATTAGCATTTTTCAACTGCCTGTAATTTGTAAATGATAAACAATTTATATATGAGAATTAAAGACATTTAATTGTTAAATATGCTATAATTAATGATTTTTTGTGTATCCTTTGGCGGGAACTTTCAAAAAATTACTGACTGTTAGAAAATTTGAATCTCAAAAAACCGTTAAACGATAAACTTTTTCTATATGGAAATTCATTGGAACAAATCATGTAATCATACTTTAACTAATGTTTTCGTAGTGCAACTTTTAGCGAAAAAATTTTCAAATACTTATTGACCGTTAAAAATTTTGAAACCGTTAAATGGTTTCGGTACTTCTCTTTTCCTTTAAAAGGCAACTTCAAATATTATTTGATATCAAAATTTTTCATCTGAATAAATCATGTTAAATAATTACTAAAATAGATCTAATTTTTATGGAAAAGCAATGGAAGTACTTACTTTAGCCGAATACGTCGATATTTTAGTTGTAAGTTATTTAATTAATTGTTAAACATTTAAAGAAAAAAAATTAAGATTAATAACGGTTATTTTTTGAATTATGTACATTCGAATATATGCGCACATTTATGTGCGCACATTATATTCGAATACGATTCTGCCCAACCCTATTGGCAAATAATGTATTGTCTTTTACTCAAAAGTCGTCCAATCCACTTGATTCTTTGTTTTTAACTGAAACTTAAATAATTTGACATAATTCAATTAAAGGTTTTTAGCGCATTTTTGAAACTTGTTTCTAAGAGGTAGCTTAATAAATCACTTTGTTCGGCTGCTCGGCTGTGTTTGAGATCTCATTAACCAGACATCGTAGAGAGTTCTAGTTTGTTTTATTAGCTCCGTTACTATCGATTTATTGGCTTATCAAATGGTTAAAGTTCTTCAAACCATGTTTTTATACTATAATTAATGATTTTTTTATTTCATAAACAAAAGCACGTGATGAGTACGTTTAAAAATTTGAATTTTTTCTACCGCTTTAAAAATTGTTCTGGGTATGCTCAAAAATTCAAATTTATTTCTATCGTTAAAAATTTGAATTTTTAAATCCCGTTTAAGGACAAAAAACATTTGCTGTACCTAATGTTTAATATTTTTTAAATACAATGAATATGCTTTGATAAAAGCAAAATTTTAGAACTGTTTGCTAATTGATTCGCATTTTGATGCTTATCAAATATTAATCGCTGCGTCAAAAATGCGCTGAAGTCTCTCGATAAATAACACGAAGACTTTTGTAATTTTTTTTTATTAAGTTTATTATATCATAAGGAAATATTTTTTTAAGTTTTTAAACAAAATCCAATCCGCAAACCTTAAAAACAGGAAGCAAAGGCAACGATCATTAATTCAATTAATTTTAAGCTTAAATCTAAATCTGAACCTAATTTAGTCAACTTTATTTTTAATTTTTGATACTGTCTTCCTTAAAAGGAAGTAGATAAGTCCTATAAATATTATCAAATACATTAAGCATAGATTAAATGGCGTTCCAAAGTAAGTCATACTGCCAAAGTCCTTCGCATAAGCAATTCGATTTTTAATGGCATTATTCACATGCCAAACTATTAAATCTCGACTGCTAATTGGTTGATCGTATGCCAATGATTTCACTTTTCTTATATTTGCTACATATTTTGGCTTTGTCATTTCCTGTATTGCTGCACTTAGTTTAAACTCATCAAAATCATTCAAATCCATTTCCATTCCGATTCCTTTGTCAATCACAAGTTTCGCATTTGTTGACTGATCATAAGCCAATGGAAATACAATCATTGGAACTTCTCGATCGATTGCTTCATAAATTGATAACATTCCTCCATGAAAGATAAATAACTTTACATTTGGATGTGCTAGAACATCAGCTAATGGTATCCATGGCACAATTTTGACATTTTTTGGCACTTCCATCACACCTTCTAATTTATCATACTTCCATAAAACACTCATATTTGTCATGTTGAATGCATTCACAAATTTTTTAGTTATATCACTTCCAAAACTTTTCAAATTGACTCTAGACCCAAATGCCTCAACAATCACACCATTAGTTGATTTATCCAAGAACTCTTTAAGTTCCAAATCTTTGATAGCTTTTGGCTTCTCAACATGCACAAATCCAATTTGTATAGAATGTGGCATCATTGGACGGACATGTCCAACTGCATGATTTGTATTGAGCATGAGTAGTGACAGACGATTTAACGGTGGCACAAATGCTGCTGTTCCCAAATGTATGAAATATTTAAAATTTAATATTCCATTTAACAGCATGTAGAAAAAGTTGAAGATTAGTTCATGATAAATTTTATAAATCACACCATTGATTTTTTCGACGATCGACAGTTTCCCATGAACGTATGGTAGAATAAAATAATCAGGATATTTCATTGGATTGGCGTCATTTCCAAACACTTCATGACCTAAATTTCCAATTTCAGTTGAAGTTAGGATAGCAATTGGACAGTTGAAAATTTCAGCAAATAAAAAGTATGGACACAAGAAGCACTCGACGATAACTAAGTCAAAGTGATAATCAGAGCTGTTTTTGATCAAATTTTGAATTTCTGGATGTTTCATTTCATTATTAACGACCATGAAGTGTGCCTTAGATTCTAAAAACTGCATTTTCACATAATTAAGGTTGGTCCTCTTGTACATCAGCATGTCTGTGTTCTCATCATATATTTTTTGAGATTCCGCAAATAAATGTTGTGTGACATTTTGATTGTCGCCATAATCATGAATATGTGATGTAAAAATAGTCAAATTGTGTCCTTCGTCAGCTAATATTTTTAAAATTTTGTAATTAAAGTGCTGATGACTGTATGCTGGAAATGAAAATATTCCCAGAATATTCGCGGACTCAACTGTGACTACGAAAAATATAGAAAAAATCACAAATTTCAAGGATCTCATATCGATCTAGTCAGATTGAAATCTGAAAATAAACTGAAATTCACCAAAACGCACATTGTGCATATATACTATAATAAAAAAGACTTTTTTTGCTTGATTGGGGCACTCAATTTGCTTAAGAAATTAACATATGTTTATTGGCAAATAACTTTAAAAATTCTCTCAGCGTGTTTTGGCATCGATTAAAAATTCGATGTCATAAATTTTTGACTGAAATGCTAAACGAAATTGTGGCTAATTATCAAAAAATTCCATTTTCTGTAGGCGTCATTTATAAACGACCCCTTTCTCAAGAAAGCATTTAATAAAATCATCAACAGTCATAATATAAATTTCTTCCTTGTGCAAGAAAGTATAAATAACACTAAGCAAAGGTGGAGTACCTCAACCAGGGTTCGTACCAGGGTTGCGATACTGGCATCTGTGCATAGGTGTGAACCGTACAATTCCTTAATAATTCACAAGGTTTTTCTTACAAAATCACACAAATTCTAATAAAAACAAGCTTTTAAAGAAATTTTCTAGTTAAATTTATGACAAGATTTTTGTTCGCCACCCCTGGATAGTAATAATGTTACTTTATCATCGTCGTAGCCAGGAAGGGGAGGGGGAGACCATATTTTTTTATTGACACCCCCCCCCCCCCCACAAATTTTTATTTATTTTTAACTTTTATACATAAGATCAAGTTTTTATATTCTAAAACCCAATTGGTGAGGTGATTCCAACGTACGTGACTTGAAAATGAACAAAACAAAAATATTAAAGTGATATATTTGGGAGCGAAAATGATTTGGCAAAAATTATAAATTTCTGATGCAATATCAAAGTGTTAGTTGAAATTGTTTTTGCGATGCTGTTTGATAGTAATATCAGTTATGTAGCACTATATCAGCAACCTATCAGTATTCATTATGGTAATCAATGAATTTTTGATAAACTATAAATTTTGTGGTGTCGTTGAAATCGAGTCATATTTTGGCAAAACTGCCAGTGCGAGAATTAGGCCTTTGTGGCGCTAGGAGTCAGGTAACAGGCCAAATATCTGTTATAACCGTCTTTTGTGAGGACGTAGGTTTGAATCCCATGAGAGATCGGTGCTTTAATCATTATAGACCAGTGGTGGTAAACTCATGTGCCGCGGAACACTAGTACTTACTTACTTACTGTAACTATGTCCCTATTTGAAGCTTAAGTTACAGCAAAAAGCTTTCCATCTGACTATGTTGCTGGAACTCGAGTCGACTTCGAGCTCTGCTCTGATGGAGAGTGTTGATAATATGACAAGGAATCGATTAATACTCACGACATTAAGCATTAACTTAAAATTCTGAATTCCTGTAAAAAAGTTAAATTTTAAACTTTTTTTAAATATTTTATGTAACTTAGAATTTCTTTATTGATGATTTTTTCACTTTTTTTTGTGAGACAATCATGACGCTATCATCTCTCTATCTCAAAAAAATTAATTATTAGTAGACATACATCATAATCATAATCTTGTAACATATTTTCACTCTTAAACATACTTTTATTTTTTTGTTTTGCTTAATTATTATTTTTTTTATTATTATTTTGATATATATTTATAATGGATCTAATGGATGCTAAGTTTAACGTTTTGTCTGTTGAAATGAAAGAAAGTTGCGTCATGGACATGAGCTGGTAATCTGCAGCACTTAATGTTAAAGATTTTTGTGACTTCAATAGCTGTAGATTTTTAGGTTTAAGACTTCAATGTCCATTCACGTGTTTTTTTCATTCCTAGAAGTCAATTGATGGATTTTATTTGGGTTTTAATTAGAAATTTGTATTGGAGGCTGTTCATAAATGACGAAACGCATTAAAGGAGGGTGTGGGTCTGTAGTTTTGTGACGGTTTAAAGTTTAAACAAAAGAAATTTTTGGTTCGATTGGGGAGTTAAAATCAGACTTTTAATAGACGTCATTTATAAACGACCGACCCATTGTAATTTTCAAGATTTTGTTAGATTAAGAACAGCATAAAGGGTCGTTCACTTCTTACGTATCGGAAAAAAACGACTATTTAGACCCCCCCCCCCCCCCCCCCCCTTTTTGTCACAAAACTTGTAAGAAGTAAAATTTCTTTTTTTAACTGTCACAAAATGTCAAACCCCTACCGTCCTTTAAAAGCGCTACGTAATAAGTGAACGGCCCCTAAATTGCTGAATATTTAAAATTAAATAATCAAAATTAACTTTTAAGTCTTGAAAAAAGTTCTCCATCAATTGACATTGAATTTAATTTTATTTCTGAATCATAATTTGGTTTCCTTGATTTAATAATTTATTTATTTTTTTGTTGGAAACAAGCTAGTTATTAAATGTTTATGGTTCAACATTATAAATATTTTCTTAATAACTTTTTTTTATCGCTAATTTCCTTATTCGTTGATGCGTGAATTTTTATTATTTATTGTAGAGAGTTTTGGGGGTGGATTGGGTCTTTTTTGTTGGTTGCTAGTGACAAGCTGGTTTTATTGAGTAAGTTGATGTTGATTTATTCAAGATTTGATGTTGACTTGTAACAATTCCATCAACTAAGTTGAATCAACTCAAATATAGCTTCATTAAGTTCCTTCCCCTCCAACACCCCTTCTTATGATCATTTCAAATGAAATAATTGCGACAACATTTAAATTTAATTCAAACCAACTCAAATCACTCAAAAAAAATCTAAAACAACGAACTAATTAAACAGCGTTCTTTTATTGTCGACCTGATAAATAAGTGTATAAAGAATTGATTTGCAAATACGAGTGTAGTTGTCATTCAATTAAATGATATCAAGCTTAAACAATCGGAATATTTTTTTTTGTCTTTTCATATTTTTCCATTCTCATATTTCTATAAATAAAATTTGTTCTTTATATAACGTTCAACATGTCTATAGATTAGATGTGGATGTGATTGAGGTGTGAAAGCGAGTTTTATATTGCTGAAATTTTATAGATTAAAGCTTGGAGATGTTAAAATAAATGGAAATGAATATTTTGAACATAAATCTGAATTTGAATATTTTATTGGTTTTAAAAATTTCAATTTTAAACTCATTTAGAATAATTGGAATTGTTTTTTTATTTTTTTTTAAACTTTCAGAATTTTTAAAAAATCAATTTTTTAAATTCTTAAAATTTTGAAAGTTTCGAATTCTTAAAAACTTTGAAATTTTTGAATCCTTAAAATTTAAAAGAAAAATTGAATTTTTAAACATTTTGAAATTTTTGAATTTTTAAAAATTTTAAATTCTTAAAAAAATGAAATTTTTTAAATTATTAAAATTTTTGAATTTTAAATTAGATTGTTTTTTTAATTTTTCAACATTTTTGAAATTTGTTTTGGGATTTTTTTCAACTTTTGAGTCAAAAACTTGAAGCAATAAAAATTCATTTCAATATTTTAAAATGCAAATTAATTAAAATTATAAAATATAAATCCATATGGACTCACCAACATCCATCATCCACACCTCAACCATTCAATGTAAATATCTTTTCATTCATCGTAAAAATTGATATATGATTAATAATAAAACCTTTAGCAATGCATTCTTGTTTTTCATCTGTATATAATACTTTTATATTTCAATTTTTTTTTATTTTAATTTTTTTGTTTGTAAAATTGTTGTTGTTTTTCTCATATTAATTAATTAAGTAAATAAGTTTTCATTATATTGTCAATATATGATATTTTACTTCATTTTCTTTTGTAATTTCTCATTCTATATCACTACTTTAAATTAGAAATATTAATTCAACTTTAACATTTAGCGACTTTATTTAATATCATTTTTTTTTAGTTGATTAATGCAGAAAATTTTTCACTTCATTTTCTTGCTCTTTTCAAATTTAATAGGGATAACAAGATAAAATATTCTTTATGTAGATAGGATTTGTTGGATAGATATAAATTTAATAGTTTATAGTGTCGAATGAGAAACATATATTAGAAAAGGTAGACTAGAATGAGAAAAGTCAAATTGAGAACTTTTTTTGAGAGATATTTTAAACTCTTTTGTGAATTTTAGAATGTTTTGCAGGTTTTGTGTGCTGATTTTACTTAAAATAGTCCATCTTAAGTTTAATTTGTGGGTTGCCAATGAAAACTTCAATTAGAGCTCTTAATCATTTTAGGAATGGCATCTACGCCAATTAAAAGCAACATTCCAGTAACTGAATCAAACCTAGTGACTTTAAAGGTCTAGAAACATAAGAGATCTAGAAGCTCAAGTGATTCTTAAGATCTTAAGATCTAATCAATACAAACATAATCAAATAAGCTTTTTGTAAGTTGAATAACCTTTATCGCACTGTGAAATTCTCACTCTCACAACAAAATGTCAATCGACATAGTTTCGCTTCCTATAAACAACAGTTTGTTGACAAATGTCTTCATTCTGTTCAATTTAGTCAAGTTTGAAGTCCTTTCACATCAAAAATTGTGAAAATTGATTTAAATCGTGTTAAAATTCCATTTCCCATGTATTCCACAACCAACAACCGCAATGAGTATCAGATTTAACTTTATGTTGATTACATCAATGGTGATCATTGATGCAACAAGTTTGTGGTTTTGAAATTATAGTTCACTATTTGTAAGGGCTATGACGTCAATCTACAGCTATTTAGCTTATTAAAAGTTTGATTTTACTCAATAATTTGCAAAGCGGTGTCCTGCGATAGAGCTAGCTTTAGGAGCCACAGATCATAATTGATCTGTGTACCTAGCAAAGTCAATGGTGCGGAACTGATCAAAATGATCAAAATGAATCAAAATTTATTCTATCGCTTGAGCAAATTAAGTCAAAATTTGACTAAATCCTTCACAAATCACAAAATTCCTTCAATAAAATTCAAAATTCCTCAAAAAAAAGTTCTTTTAAAAAATTTATTTCAAACAGGATACATGCTGATTATTATTCATTTACTCTGATTTGATTAAGTAAATTGATAACATTAGTTAAAGTAAATAGTTTTTCATTTATCACTTGTAAATATCCATAAAAAGCAACATAGACATTTAAGAATTTTTTTTATTTATGAGATTTTTTTATGACTTTCTTTTGGGTTTAAATATTGAAAGATTATAGCAAGACAGTATCATAAATTTGTGTTATTATGATTTTATGTTTTTCTTATCAATAATTGCGTTATTAAGAAAACTTTTTTTTATTAATTTAATTAATAGTTAAAGTCATGCGATAAATCCTCACTGGATGCTGAAAGTTCAACTCAATCATGAACTTATGACAGCAAGGACTTATCACATTTATTGAATTAATTTAATATCATTATTGTATCTTTTTTTTTTGTTGTAAATATGATTTCTACCAATGTGCCCAATATTTTGTTCATGAAATATTTCCTCAATGTATGTATGATGTGTGCATTTTATCTAATGAATGTGCTCAGTTCTTTTACCTACTGATTCTGACGATATTTCAATAAATTGATATTAATTGACATTTACAAGGTTCTCAATAAGCATCTGATGGAAAAAATTAAATTTACTTTTTTTTGGACCCAAGTGATTTTTGAGGTTGTTGTCTTCTTTGATGTTTGAGATTGCCTTCCCAGACTACACACTTAGTTTTTCATTATTCTCATTCGATGCTCATTAAAATTGATCTTCGTATTTAATAAAATCCGACTGCGATTATACTTAACTAAACTCCACAGACATGACAATATTCCTCTGTATCATTTGGGTCTTAATACTTTTTGAGCTTTTCCATAATCCTATAGGAACTCAAACTAAATTGCTGTAATAACATTTCGCCTAATTAATTCGAATTATTTCACGAAGAGAGAAAAAAAATCCTGCTCGGTAATACTTTTCGTTCTCTAAATGCTGGAATGGATTTTTTAGTGGTCTTGATGATTTTACTTTGATTAGTATATAGTCCTTAGTCTAGTCTAATCTAATCCTTAGTCTAATCTAGTCCTTAGTCTAGTCTAGTCCTTAGTCTAGTCTAGTCTAGTCCTTAGTCTAGTCTAGTCCTTAGTCTAGTCTAGTCTAGTCCTTAGTCTAGTCTAGTCTAGTCCTTAGTCTAGTCTAGTCCTTAGTCTAGTCTAGTCCTTAGTCTAGTCAAGTCCTTAGTCTAGTCTAGTCCTTAGTCTAATCTGGTCCTTAGTCTAGTCAAGTCCTTAGTCTAGTCTAGTCCTTAGTCAAGTCTAGTCCTTAGTCTAGTCTAGTCCTTAGTCAAGTCTAGTCCTTAGTCTAGTCTAGTCCTTAGTCTAGTCTAGTCCTTAGTCTAGTCTAGTCCTTAGTCTAGTCTAGTCCTTAGTCTAGTCTAGTCCTTAGTCTAGTCTAGTCCTTAGTCTAGTCTAGCCCTTATTCTAGTCTAGTCCTTAGTCTAGTCTAGTCCTTAGTCTAGTCTAGTCCTTAGTCTAGTCTAGTCTAGTCCTAAGTCTAGTCTAGTCCTTAGTCTTGTCTAGTCTAGTCTAGTCTAGTTCCAAATCTAATCCAAAGCAGCAAGAATTCTCAAATCCATTCGAGCAAATCTTCACACTTCAACCTTGTAAGACACTTTTCATTCTACTTTAATAGATATTCTAATATGATTATTCTTCACATCTAGGCAACATCGCTTTTTCTAAACTTTACGTCTTTTTCTTGATATATTTTTTGAAAACGAATTAGTTTCGTGATATTGATAAGTTTAAACGAGATTAGTAAATTAGTTGTATATGATTATTAGCTGCTTTTAATACGAATTTAGATAGTAAATGATTTGAGATATACGAAAATAGCTAATAGACAGCATGGAAATATAGATTTGAATGATTTGGGTATGGTTAAATGGGTATGGACTAGGATGTGCACTATATGGGGCACCTTAGTGTGTAGCTAAACTATATATAAACCTCAGTTACACTCAAGACTAGCCCTCGTAGATGTTGAACCTTAAATTCCACAAACCCGGATTTAAGAATTTAATTTTAAACCTCAAGATGTAGTTCTGCATTATTCTAATCCTAAGATCTAAAGTTAATAATCACACAATTTCCTACAAACTAAATTTAAAACTCAATGATTTTAATACAATTGGAACTGGAACTAAAATCTGCTTTATCATTAATAAATCTTTGGATTTAAAAGTTTTAATCCACTCATAACAATTTAAATAATTCTGCATTATCGACCAAACCCGTGAAAACTGTCATACTCTCAATTATTGCGCACATTGAAATCATATTTAGTATATGCTTTATATTAGTTTAGTTAAATTTAAATCACTTAACATTCTCATTTCGATATTATTTTTTTTTCTTCTTCTTATGCTTTTCATCATTAATTTTATGCTTATTTATGTATGTATCAATAAATTGTAGTTTTTATGTTGCCGTTTCATATATAAAAGCAAAGCACTTCAAACAGCACACGGCATAGCACGAAGATAATGATTCGAAGTTAAACATAATCTTTTTTAATTTATTTAAGGTCATACTCATCGTCGTTATTGCTCCATACTTTTTTAGCTGATGTTGTTGTGGTGGTTTTTGGCGAATCGTAATCAGAAAATGCATCATTGTTAATGCCAGCACGTGTTGATAGCACTGTTGGATCATGTGTAAAGTCACCGTCCTTATCAGATGAGACACTCAAACTTTTCTGGAATGAATTGTCTCGACGTGCATCACGACTTCCATAGACGTAGTTTGAGTCAGTGCTTGTGCTCGTGAAGCTTGAATTTGATCTATTTCTGGCATAGCTAGCTGGTTTAAATGACGAAGAGTCAGGGCCTGTTGATGAGACCTTTATTGCACCGAAAACTATGTCAGCGTCTGACATTTTCCTCTCTAATTGTCCTCGTGGCTTTTCAGAATCTTCTGTATCGACACTTGGTTCCTTATCGATTGATGTTTTCGTTCCTGCATAAAGTGGAATTGTTGCAACTGGATCGCCAGGCTTGTAGCTGTAATCAAAGTTTGTGACATTTGATAGATCAGGTTTGAAAATTTCTTTCGGAACTTGTGGCTTTTCCTCTTTCGTCGTTACCGTCGAGAATGTAGTAGATGCTGAACTATACGGTGTATAAGAGACACTCGCCGTTCCTGGCGGCTTATTTTTATCAAATGGATTAATCCTCTCATGTGAGATTGGGGGTCTATAACTTTCATATGTTGCCGTAATTCCACTTGTTATCGGCTGCTGTTCTGACTGTTGGCTAAATGTTGATGATGTATATGAAGATATGGAGCTTCTGTCAAAAGAAGAAGAAGCAACTGAACCGGTTAATGATGATTGAAGCGGTTGTGACTGCTTTGATGTAATTCCTGAGCTTATAGTGCCATTTAGAATTTTTTCATTTGCACTTTTTGATGATGCGGTTGTTGATGATTTTGGTTGCGTTATAATTGTATCATTGATGGAATCAATGCTCTCCTGGGAGACTGTTGTTCCAGCTCTTTGTTGCTTCTTCTTCTTTGCTAAATCCTACATGTCACCGAATATTCCTGCGAATGTTTTACGGAGATTTTTCATTGTGTCCTCAGCTTCATCGACGACAGACGATTGTTGTGTTGGACGTGGTGGTTGTGATGCTTTTGAGCCAGCTTGCGATGATTGTGATGTTTGTGAATCTCTACGTCCTGTACTGGCAAGTGACGGTGCTGATGATTCTGAACTGTCCATATTTGCTCCACCTAAGCTTCCATGACGTGCAATTGATCCAACACCAGGTGTTTGACGTTCTGGAATTGGTGGGGGTGGACCGCCTGGTGGAAAGTTTCCAGTTATTGAACCACTTCTGAGACCAGCTGAAATTGGTGGAGTTTCTTCTGTTGGACTGCCTGTGTGAGATCCAACTGTTGGTCTCGATTGAGATTTTGGAATTGGTGGTCGGCAGACATTCTGAAATGATTTATTAAAATTAACATCTGTTCGGATTGAATGTAATTCAAGGTTGACTTACTTGCATACGTGCACTAACGATATCAGCAACTGTACGTCTATCCTCTTCTTGTGTATCTCCAATAAGACTAAACGTACAGTCAGATGCCTTCAAAATATACTCCTTGTTATCTTTTGCGACAATCACTGACAGTGCACAAATTTCCATTCCACCGAAAAGTTCCGATACCTGGGTACGAAATAAAAATATAAATATTTAATTCATGTTTTGTTGTGTGACTTGATATTAAATATTTATGGAATTATTTGCAAGCAGAAAAAATCTTCTTTTGAAATGAAATTTTTATGAAATCTTAATTGACTTAATTTGACACAAATTGGACATTTTATGGTGTGAGATATGAGGTTATTGATTGATTAGAGTTTATTTGGTTCTAAGAGTGTATCTAGAGTTTTAAGACCCAAAAATGGGACTCGCTGTGAAACTGGTTGTATGTTTATAGGAAATAGTCGAAGTGAGGCAACAACCTAGGTTGCCTAGTGGCACAAATTTTCAAAAAGTTAAAGATCTCCTGTTTTGAGGATTTGTGTTCGATTCCTACTAAGCCTGATCTAATATTTATATGTAAGCGCATACAAGAGTCATATGGAGATCTACAAGTAGGACTCTATTGGATCAATATAGTGTGAATCAGACTAAGCAACCCTGATGAATGCTGTCTTCAATCAGAAGTCGACGGCTACCATCTTCCAAAGACTGTCGACTGCAAAAGTCAATAACGGATGAAAACATTACACTTTTAAACCTAAGAAAGTAAAATTCAAATTTTTCAATTTTAGTATCTATAAAAATCGAGCTTCAAGTTATCCTAATTTGATATTTTAGACTCAAAACATCATGAAAATGTCAAACTTGACATTTATTATCAGCTTTAAAAAATCATTCACACCGTCGACCTTTTACATTTTCCTTTCCGAATCTATCAAAATTTTTACATCCATTAAAAAGCAATTAAATGCTAATTCATCAATTTATTTTCAGCAATTTGATATTTTTCTTCCTCGCCAACAACTAAAATGAGTAATCGACACTGAAAAAATTTCCTATGAAACATTCCATGTCGAAAAAAAGTTTTTCTAGTCTAAAAATATCTGACTTAAGTGTAATTCATCAGAATGGACAAAATTTATGGCCTGTTTGCTTACTGTCTGCCTCATCATGTATTATCTATATAGCGCCTCACACGAGCGTAAGAAATTTCATTCATTTATTGATGACCAAGAAATTATTTCGTATTTCATATTTTTTTTATATAAATTTAAAGATTTTTCTTCATTCGACTCGAATTTTTATTTCGTTTTTTTTTTTGATTATTGATATTTTGTAACAAGAATGAGAAGAAAATCATTGGAATTTTCATTGACAGCTATCGCTTATTTTGAGTGAGATGGGAAAGGTTGTGGCAGTGATGCTCAAACTTTTTGTGTTGATTTTTTTAAATTTAATTTGGTTTTGGGATTGGATTTTTGTTGATTTTAGACTTTGGTGGTTTTAGGTTCGGTTGGAATACATTGGAATATTAGGAAAGTTTTTAATTGAAAGGAAACTGGAATTGTTGTAATGAACTGGAATTATTGGATTGAAACTGGAATTATTAGAATAAAATTTGAATTATTGAAATGGAATTGGAAATTTTGGAAGAAAACTGGAAATAAATTGGAATTATTGGAAGGAAACTGGAAGTTATTATTATTATTGTAATAAACTGGGATTATTGGAATGAAACTGGAATTATTGGAATGAAATTTGAATTTTTGAAATGAAATTGGAAATATTGGAATGAAACTGGAAGTAAATTGGAATTATTGGAAGGAAAATAGAACTATTGAATAAACTGGAAGTATTAAATGAGAACTGGAAATATTGGGAATAAACTGGAATTATTGGGATTAAACTGGAATTATTGGAATAAAACTAGAATTATCGGATAGAAATAAGAAGGAACTTTAGAAATTTCTAGATATTAAAAAGCTGATTTATCATTAAACCAACTGTCATTTAAATAAATCAACAAAACAAAATAGACACGAATCTTGCGTTCTTTCGTATTTCCACGTGCAATACATGATCGAGCATTTTCCCAACTCATTTGATTTTTACGAGCAAAAATTTTAATGTGAAAAACTCGATTCACTTTGTGAAAAATGATTTACATGATATTTCAATTAATTACGTGATGAATTTGCCCTTCATTGTCTCACACATTTGTTTATTTACTTTTAGAGCTATGTTAAGCACATACTTGTTTTCATTTAGAATCAATTAATTAATTAGATTTCAATGTTTGTATTATGACTAATGTGAGGTGCGATTATCTGCGGATATGATTTATTGGCTATAAATCTGACTGTTTCAGGGATAATAGTTATTTAAACAAAAGCAAAATTGTAATAAAATTTGACATTGAAATGAAATTGAAATGTGATAAGCATTGGATTTCGAGACGTATCAAATGAAATTATTTTTTTTGCATACGATCACAAGTATCAGTTTCATTTGGGAATGCCATAAAAAAAATGTTTATAAATTGAATCTTTTGAATCGGCATTGAGGTTTAAATTGTTGAAATTCAGACAAGAATAAAAATTGGCATTTTCCCCCAAAAAATTCATTCAATAACATTTCCATCAAAATTTACAAAAAATCACAATTAAATCAATCCACAAAAGTAAGAATTTTTCATTCAGACAGATAATTTCATTACATCACGACACAACGAGCATGAACAATCGCGTACTCTACATTTTATGAGATAATAGGAAATGATATACATTCTTCTTTCATAAAACAAACATTTTCTGTCTCTATGTGATGTGACATCACTCAAAAGAGTTTTTCTTTTTACTTTCAATTTCTCAAAGACTTCGTCGTCTGATTATTAAGTTAGGCATGAGCGACGAAAGATCGCATGTTACGAATTACTGGCTGGATACAATGAAGAGGAAAGAAGATATTTTAATATGGCACATTAATTGTTGTCATTCATGATCTCGTCTCGCTCCTCTCATGCAATTTACTTTAATTTATGATAAATGATTCTATCAACGAGTGTACTTGTTAGTGTATATTTGAGGCATCATATAAATGACCTCATATTTTCCTGGAAATTCTTACATAAGGTTTCTGTTTCTGAACTCATGCAGTCATGTGTTTTGTGTCAAATGGAAATTAAGTAGGGAGTGATCATGTATTTAGGTTTGAATTGGATTTATTGTGCTGGATATAGCTAGGAGCAGGCTGTTAATCTCTCTGCTTCATTAACCTCTGCTTGCCTGGTCGATCTCTACCTTTTTCGTTGCATTTGAGTTCATGTAGCTCAGATCAATCAAATCTGCAGGTTTATTTGATTCTACATTAGGACCTGATTTCAGTCAGGATCAGTGTCATACTCAAATAATTTAATCTTCCCACCCCCTCCCCCCCCAATTCCATCCAGTATCATCATTGACATACATTGATTCTGACCCTAACCCTTCTAAAACAGAACGTTTTAAGCAACCTATCAATTCCATATCTCCAAATACTCTCCTTATTATAACCGCGTCTGCAACCCAAACTTTAATAGCGTCATGAATCTCACAATAAAACAAAATATGACGTGATAAATCGACCATATGGACTGTAAAAATACTTTTTTATTTCGAGTGTGTTGTGTGGATTTACATTCTCAATTTCGCTAATGCATGCATGCGTGTTCCCTTCTTATACATACACAATTTATGAAATTGGCAATGACGAAATATCTTTTTTGTTTCTCGTAGTGATGATCGTGATGCTAAAAATGGAATGTTTAGGGCTGAATATCTTAAAATTGTCGTCATTGTTTGATTCGATTGTGATTCACAAATGGTGACTGTTCTTAAGTGGAGATGTCGATCATCATTAGCATTTGAATTAGATTGTCTTATTTCTTTTAAAAAATAGGGGAATCAAGTATTGTAATAAGTCTTTTGGTCGTCATGAATCAATTTGAAATGTTTTCTGTTATAATAAGAATTTTTGTGTGACTGGACTAGATTGGAACATAAATTTGGAGCAGTACTGAAGGGTATGGTCCAATCAAGGGTCGAAAATCGATCAACACAACCAAAAAATGATCGAAAAATAATATTATCAGTTCCTTAACCTGGTCCCAATTACCTCCTACATGCTACGCAATTTTTAAAGTTTGTTTGACCCAGGATTTCAATTTTGAAGAACAAGAGCGATAGGGAGCAGGTTTCCAGCACCACTGAAGCACCTTCAATTGCCTTAGTTAAATTTAATTCATATTCCAAATTAACGTATATCTTTTATAAGGTCTAGGGTGTTGTTGTGCCTGTGTAGCACTAAAAAAACACGCCCTTAGCATCATTTTGGACCTCTCTCTTGATCGACAATGAGTCTTTACCACAAACTGGCTCAAAGTCAACAATTTCCAATCCAAATACTCAAATCTACATTCATTAACTCATTTTACCCGCAAGCAATTATCAGCAGCACCTTGATTGCATTTTATGAGTCAATAAAGTAGAAAGTCATGTGATTGGAATGCTTATAATATGCAGGAAGACCCAACACAACACAAAATATTACATTGTTTAACCTACGCGCAACAGATAAAAACATTTTTAATATCAACTCATTAAATATTCTGCAAATCTGCTTAATCTTTCCGCGAAAATAAAACACATAAAAAAAAAGTTTGAGCGGAAGCACATTTTATAGTGAGAGAATGACGATTATCGACGTAATTCAATATTATTCTGGCATCTTTTCACGCTCACCCACGCCATTCCCTCCACACTTATTTCTTGTTTTTGCTCGCCGATTATGAATGATTAAATCATTTGATTATTTTTGAAATTCATTTGAATAATTTCATTCATAGAAGCGGGCTGCCTTAAAATAGAAACGAGAGAGTGTAATTGTAAACAATTCTGAATCACTCTTGAGAAATTGCTAATTTTTTTTATTATTTATTTACCTATTATAGACCTCTCATTTTCATATAATTATGGGCCATTAGCTGATCTCATTAATGTTAAATTAATGAATTTTCAATTAGCATACGTGACGAGAATAATTTCTAATCGTGGGTGTCAATTGGGTGAGTCAATAATACGCCTGATTATCTAACCTTTCTATATGCATCAATTAAATCCGGGTGATAAAATTTTACAGCTAGA